GAGGTTGGCCCAGGATCGAACATTGTTTCGTTCTGCTGTGCATGGAGTCGCTATGAGTCGGTTCCGACTCGATGGCACCTGACAACAACAACAACATGTTGTGCCAGTTGACCTTGGTGTCCCCTGAGTCTATGATCCTGAGCCCCCAGGCCCAGCCAGTAACTTATTTTTTCAAAGTGTTTGGTTATGTCCAGGAAGTTTTCATAATTTTGCCCCTGTGTGCTCCTCCACATTCATGAATATATGAGCAGCAAAAGTAAATATCCATGTACAAATGTCATCTTAAGTTGGGCCTCTTTTTAATGGAAAACTCATGGTGAAGTAAGTGTAGCACACAGACAGAAGAGTACACAGACCATGGGTGAGAGCTTCATGCATTTTCACAAATGAACACACATGAGGAACCAAAAGTCAGGCCAAGAAATAACGTAACAAGTTAGTGTTCCAGAAACATTTAACTTTTTTAACATCTCTAAAATAACTTTGCGTCTTATAAGCACTGCTGGGTCATAATTTAATTGGCAGCACTTTTTTGTTTTTCTTGTTGATACCTAAAACAATAGTGCACCAGTGGTGTCTCAGCTTCAGTGAAATTCAGTAACCACAAACACAGCAACAAAGTAGCAGCTAACATTTATAGATGTTACAACAATCCAGGAGCCTTGGTCTGGCGCTATGGGTTGATGCACCAGACTGCAAAGCCATTTGAACTGCAAGGTCTGTGGTTCAAGCTCACCAGCTGCTCCTCGGAAACCCTATGGGTTGGAACCGACTCGACAGCACTTCACAACAACAATCCAGAAGGAGCTCTGGTAGTATAGTGGTTATGAATCTGGCTGCTAACCTCAGGGTCAGTAGCTCGAAACTACCAACTGCTCCGCAGGAGAAAGATGAAGCTTTCTGCTCCCATAAAGATTTACAGCCTCAGAAACCCTGTACAGGGTCTCTATGAATTGGAACCGACTCCGTGGCATGGCACATAACAACAACAAACAACAATCCAGACACTTTCCAGACACTATTTGCTTTAATTCTCCACATGGCTCCATAGGGTAAACTTTTGTATTTCTATTTTAAAGACTGGGGAAACAGGGGCCCAGAGAAGTCAAGCAACTTGCCCAAGGTCAATTCTTTTACCCTGAGCCTCTGTCTATTCTAGCCTACTCTAGGGTTTCACAGGATGGGTGATACCTTCCTGTCTGAAGGCCGAGAAATGGCTCCAGGGAATTTCAAGGGTGTCTGTGGGGATCTGGTGGGGTTAACTGACACCTGACAGGCCCTTTCTAGATTCAGTGCTCACTATGGGGGCCTGGTTATCTAGGGTGGGAGTGGAGTAGTGAAGTAATTAAAAAACTATAAAGGGAACCTAAAACACCCCCTCCCAATCCTTCTCCAGCTCCAGGGAAATTCCCCTTTCTAAGGTTCTGGGAGAATTCCAGCCGCCCCGGAAGAATTTTTAAGGGGCAAAACCAGCTCACACTCCTGACACCTTGTCTTCAATGTGTCCCTTTTCCCCTACTTCCACCTCACTGGTTCCAAAATTCTTCTACTGGTCTTGGAAGTCTGCCCTTTCTGGAGCCCCCCAAGTCTTTATCTTCCTGTCCCCTCTCTGTTTTCTCTAAACGTAGGACACCCTAGATCTTGAAACTATCAGATCTCAGAAATGGAAAGGGGTAGAGACCTCAATTTTAAGCCTTAATGTGCAAGAGTTTCTAATTATTTCCCTGGGAAAACCTTCAAATACAGGGGCAGGTTTGAGTTACTCTTTTTTGGGAGGTGGCCAGAGGATGGTGTCATGGAAGAGAAGGGAGGAGCCAGTGGCAATAAATGTTTGTGGAAAGAATGAACAGAAGGTAACAGAAATACAGGCTAAATGACTGAGTTAGTAAATGGAGCTATCCTAGTTATTTAGTGCTGCTAGCAAAATAACAACCCAAAACACAGACACACAAGTGGATTGCTTTAACAAAGATAATTTTATTCTCCTACAGTTTAGGAGCTCTGGTAGCGTAGTGGTTACGAATCGGGCTGCGAACCATAAGGTCAGCAGTTCGAAACTACCAGCTGCTCCGCGGGAGAAAGATGAGGCTTTCTACTCCCGTAAGGATTTACACCCTCGGAAACCCTGTACAGGGTCGCTATGGGTCGGAACCGACTCGAAGGCACTTAACAACAACAACAACAATTTAGGAGGCTAGAAGTCCGAATTCAGGAATTCAGTGGCTTTCTCTCTGTGGCCAATCTGGGAGAAGGTTCTTATCTCTTTTCAACATCTGTGGGTCCAGCATGCCTTGGAAATCTCCACGTGTCTTGACTTCAATCTTCCCCTGGGTCAGGGACCCTGGATCCAAAGGATGAGCTCTTCTTCCAGTCCTTCTTTCTTTCATCTACTCCTACAGATTGTATCCTTCCTCATTAATGTAACTGCCTCTAATCTTTGACACATTAACATTATGGAGGTTAGGATTTATCATGTATAAGATTACAAAATAGAGGATGATTACATAAAACTGAAAATCATGGCCTAGCCAGGTTGATGTGTATTTGGGGAGGACCCAATTCAATCCATAACAGAAAGCACACGTATAAAATTAGATAAATAAACAACTGGGACCTTGGGCAAGAGTGACCTCAAACTCCCACATTTGGAATATAAGCAAACTGAGATTTAGAGAGACAAAAAGATAATTACTTTATTTTTGTTTAAAAGATGAGTGAGGAGGATTGAGGAATTTTATTCAAAAAGGGCCCCCCGTCTGGGGGACAGTCAGAGATAACAGCATTGGAAAGGTTGATGGGTAAGAAACAGGGCTTCGGACCTGGACACAGAGAGTGGGGTGCTGCCAAGGGAGCAGGAAAGAGAGTAGGTGCCAGTGGGGAGCAGGGACCTATAAGTAGACTATAGGGAGACATGCTGGAAACTGTAGCTCAATCATCCCACTCATCATCTTCATCCTCATCACCAGCCTGGTCCTCCCCTTCATCTAGAGGAAAGGAAAGAAAGGACTCAGGATGGGCTGGAGGTTTCAAAATCTCTTGGGGAGAGCTTTCTAGGGCTTGAAAGGCCAGAACTCATGGAGCTGGGGTTTGGGGAAATCAGATGCAGGACCTAGATGAGTGAGAGAGTTGCAGTTTGGGACAAGATAGGAATTTGTAGTTGGGATCTGGGTTCCAGTTGGCGTTAAGGCTAGTATGTATTATCATTTAAAATGTGGTTAGTTTGATACTGTCATCTAAAGGACTAACGTTAATCAGTCTGTCACTAAATGGGTGAATTTGAACATTATTGTCAAAGGTGAGATAAATCATAATATTGTCTCATAGTGAGTCAATGTTGCTGTTGTTAAGTGCCTTCGAGCCAGTTCCGACTCCTAATGACCCTATATAGGGTTTCTGAGGAGTGGCTGGTGGGTTTGAACCACTGACCTTGCTGTTAGCAGTCCAGTGCTTATCCTACAGCGCCACACCATTAGGGAATTAATATTAACATTTTGTAGAAAGATTGGGTTTATTATTTTAGTATCATTACCATATAATGAGTTAATGTTAATCTTGTTATGTGGTTAAAGTTAATACTGTGGACACATCTTGGTATTAATATTAGCATTATTGTTAAAGACAGATCTAATTTAATTATATTTCTGCCACATAATTAATTCATGCTAACATTGTCAAGTAACAAGACTCATGCTAACACCTGGGTCCAACGTTAACAGTTATGGTGACTGTTGGTGTTGTTTTTATGCCATCACTTGACCTGGTGTGGTGCTGCAAAGCCTTTTGAACTGTAAGGTCGGCGGTTCAAGCTCACCAGTCGCTCCTTGGAAACCCTATATAGGGTCACTATGGGTCAGATCCGACTCGATGGCACTTAACAACAATAACAACAAGACCCAATAAGCAGGTGCCTGGTCCTGGCAGGATGGGGCCAGAACTGGCCTGCAGAGGACAGCCACAGGCTGGGGACCACTGGCCTCTCACCTGAGGAATGAATGACTCTGCTTCTTTTCTGCATCACGTGCATCAGGGCCCCCACCAGCCCCTCTGAGCTCTTTGGTGGTGGCTGCAGTGCTGAGTTCTCTGGGGTCCCAGGAGTCTGCAAAAAGCAGGGGCATAGCAAAGTTCAGGGTCTGTCAGAGGAGAATTCCTTCCTGCCTCTTCTTCATTACTTCTCCCACACACTCAAATTACCTTCAAGGTTCCAATCCCACCTCATTCAGCCTCCAACCTTCCAACTCTGTCAATGAATCCCAGAATCCAAAACCTGTGGCCCCACTAGTCTCTGCCCCTGACCCCCTAATACCCTGATTTTCAGAGCATACTTCAGAGCCCCAGAACCCCATCCCTCCCTCCTGCCCATCTTTACCTTGTTTAGCTGAATTCCCTGCCGGATTTGATCCAAAAGTGCCCCCCGGCCCCCACCAGGGGCCTGGACCCCACCAGACCCCGCAACAGGAGGGGGTGGGGGAGCAACTGGTCCATCCCCAAAGGCGGGTGGTGGTGGTGGTAGTGGTGGTGGTGGTGGAGCGGGCGGACCCCCACCTCCAGGGGGTGGCGGTGGTGGTGGTCCAGAACGTCCAGTAGCTGGAGGGGGTGGTGGTGGAGGGCCCCCTCTGACTAGGGGTGGGGGTACCCGGAGTGTTGGTGGAGGCGGAGTACTCCCCAAAGGTACAGGGGGCAGTGGACCAGAACGACCCTTGTTACCCCCCATAGTCGGGGGCCGGGGGGGTTGGGTTCCTCCTCGGGATGGGGGCGGTGGTGGTGGAAGTGGCTCTGTTTGGGGAGAATAATTAAAAAGCTGTTATTATTACGGTTTTGTTGGAGTTTTTGTTTTGTTTTTTTCTTTCGAAACTTCAGTTTTGTTCATTTGTAAAATGGGTACCTCAACTAACCAGCTTCCAAATCAAGCGGTTTCTGTGAACACTGAGTGATGTCAGTGTATCTCTTAGATATTAACTGCCAGGGCTAGAGAATAATTAGGTTGGGGGCTTACCTTGGCGTCTCATCTCCTGTCGCACAGCCTCCAGCCCACCCTGGTCCTCAATGAAGTCATAGATAAGTTTAGAGGTCTCAGCATCAGTGAGCTGGGCCTCACTGATTCCTGCCCTGGAGAAGAGGCTCCGGAGATCCGGATCCAGTTTGTTCACCTGTTCAGGAGGAAAGAGGTCAGGGCAGAGGTAGAGGGCTAAGATGAGTAGGGAAGGGGCACAGATTATCATTGGATTCACCCCAGAAAGCAATCTGACAGAGGTGTGGGAAGGGGTAGGGACCAGGGAGTGGGGTCTATAGGAAGGTGGTGGGAATTGATTGAGGTTTAGGAAACTTCTGGGTTACTTACGTCAAATCCATTTTGGGGATCCCACCCCACGTGGCTGACATGTCTAGGGGAAGTGAGGAGACCCCAATGAATCCCTACTGCTCTTCTTTCCCTACCTTCCTAAAGATGCCCTCCTGCCCAGAGGGACTCTGAAGGGCCAGAATTAATGAGTGATTCATGAGTGAATGAATGCGTGAGAGAGCAGGCATTATGAAATTAGAAATGGTTCATAGTCCACCTCTCCCTCTTTCCACCCATTCATTTGCCCACTTTTCTATTCATCTGTATGACTACTGATCTAGCTACACATACATCTATCTCTAGTTCCATATTCCCACACACATATGTTGAGCCATTTGTTCACCAATCTGTCCTCACACCCATTTGTTCATCTACCCTTCAATCTTACCCATGTGCCCATCTTTCCATCCATCTACTCATTTGCCTATCTATTCAACTACACACATTGCTGTCCACTTATCCATTGAACACATTTATCCATACATCTGTCAAGCCATTCATTCATCCACCCACCCATCAGCCTGCCCATCTAAGGCAAGACAAGCAACATGCCTAGGATGCAAAATTTAAAGAGGCACTCACTCTCAAATTCATGAGTTGCACAAACACTTCATGACACTGAGAGTGACTTTTGCACCCTGGACACCTCACTTGCCTTGCACCACCTAGCCATCTACTCATCTACTCCCCCCCCACCCCCCGCCTATCCACCTACCTACCTACTCACCCATCCTTCCATCAACTTATCCAGTCACTGAGCTTTCTGCCATTATTTGCCCACCCAGGGATCTATAGTCCTACTGTGGGGAGATTCTCACTTGAATCCACTAGGTGCACCAATATCAGCCTTGCTGATCTTCTTTTTCCCTGAACGTTTCTTGTCAACCGGGCCAGGTCCTGGTGCTGGGAGCCCACGGTACCGTGAACTTGTGATGTCTGGATTCTGGATGTCTACTGTCACCAGTCCCAGGGACAGCGGGACAGCTGGTGGTCCTATGGGCAAAATAAGGTGACCACTAATCCATTTACTTACCATCCAAAGAAACATAGGGACAAGAAACAGGAAGACGGAAGACTGGGGGTGAAACTTCTGTGTACCTTTGATGGTCATGGGGGAGTGGGTGAGGAGTCCAAGTAAGGTTTATAGAGAAGTGGGTAGGTTCCACAAACCATTCATACCTTCACAGAGTCATTCATTTTTTCATTTAGTTATGATCATTACTTAATTATTGACTCTTTTATTCACTGATTTTTTGACTGATTAATTTAAGTTATTTAGATACCTACTCAATTGTTCATTCAATCATTACTTCTTTTACTGACTGAAATATCATCACTTATTCACTTACTCACTGTTCATTCATTCAGTCAATCATCATCCATCTATCCATTTACCCTTTAACCTATATATTAATACATCCACATATGCATCTATGTTTCTAGCTATACTTTCATATTACAATCTATACTTTCATCTAACTATCAGTTTATCAACCATCAACCCATCTATCCACTCACCCATCCATCAAGACACACAGAGATATGCCCATGTACTCATCCATCCACTCACACATCCATGCACACCTGCTCATCCATCTACCCATTCATTCACTCAGTTATTCATTCATTCATTCTTTCATTCATCCATCCATCATCACCTACCTACCCACTCACCCATCCATTTACCATTTATCTCTGCTCCCACCCAGCTACTCAACCATTTACCACTCTCCCACTAATTCAAAGACACAAGGAAGAATCAATACTCACCCCCTAGGTCTCCACCCGGGTGTGGGGGCAGGGGTGGGAGCCCCCCTCTCCTCTCTGGGAAAATGGAATGGGTAGAGAGTTATCACTACCTTGCCATAGGTTCCTGGCCTTGCCCTTATTACCTCTACTTACACTAAAGGACTCACCCTCATTAGCTGGTGCTGGTGGTGGAAGTAGCTGGCGCCTGTCTGTGGAGAGACAGGTGGATTGGGAACAAGAACCAGGGAAGGGGCTTCTTTAGCTCCCACCCTTACACTTACCTCCCCCAGGGAATCCTCACCTCCACATTGCCTCTGTCTTTTTTGTATCTTCTCCTGCACCAGGGTCCGGAAGACATAGGCCTCCTCCTTATCTGCAAAGTTCAGTCCTGCTTGGCAGTTCTGCACAGACCTTGAAGTCAGCAGCCTTCCAGACCCCCACTCATTTCCCTATCTCCTCCCCACACCCCAACCGAGGTCCCAGGATTGGTTGGTCACTTACATCTCCAGCGAAGGTGTGGAAAAAGGGTGTGGGAGTGGAGTAGATCAGCTGTGAGTACAACTCCTGTTCCCAGAGCATCCGGCCAGCCTGGAGAGGAGCAGGGTGGGGACCACACTGGCATTAAGGCTTGCTTGCCCTGGGCGCAAGACTTTGTTATTCAAACAGGGAGCATGGTGTCCAGATTTGGGACCCCAGAATTTGATTTAAAAATTGTCAACTCAGTATTGGAGAGCTGGGAATCCAGGTGTCAGATGTGGAATTTGGTAGTACAGTATGGGGCCAGATGTGCTGTGAGAGGTTTGGGTTTGGGGTTCAGGGCTCTAGATGTGGACCATGAGGGCCTGCATTGGAACATTTAGAACTACAGTCCTAGGAAACTGAGGGTCATTTATAGATTCAATCCGACCCCACCATAATGGAGGTCATCATTTGGGTTGTTGTTATCAGTGCCAGTTGGTTCTGATTAATAGCAACCCTATGCACAACTTAGGACCCTGCACTATGCTCACAATTGTTGTTATGCTTGAGCCCATTGTTGTTGCTACTGTGCCAGGCCACCTCATTGCCAGGTTTTTTCTTATGCTTTTTTGCTAACCCTCCACTTTACCAAGCATGATGTCTTTCCTGATAATATGTCTGAAGTATGAGAGACAAAGTCTGGCTATCCTGGTTTCTAAGGTGCATTCTGACTGTACATCGAACACAGATTTTTGGACAGGTAGTGTTCTCGTTTTGAGGAGTTGGGGTCAAGATTTGAGGGTCATAAACATATAGACTTTGAAGTTTGGGGTTAAGTTCAGCCAAGGTATGTGCAATTTGGGGTTTGTGGATCAGGGTTATGACTCAAGATTTTGGTCAATATTTGAGGGCCCTGGGTGGGGTCTTGATGTAGTTATGCTGAGCCCATCTTTATTCATTTAGAAGGATGAATTTGGTGTTTTAGCCTGAAAAATTCAGGTGTTAGGGGTTTCTGGAACAGATTTTTACTTAGGAGCTACTTCAGTATTTATATGGGAATTCTGGGGTCACAGATTTGGCATAATTATCATATTCACAAATGAGCAAAGAAAAACCATATGATTATATTGATGGGCACAGAAAATGCCTTTGACAAAAACCAAAATCTATTCTTGATTTTGAAAAGCATAAGAAAAAAAAATACTTCGACCTAATAAAGAATATCTATAAAAAGCACTGCAGAATAATGCTCTGGACTGCAAGGACGGTTTGAACTGCAAAGCCAGTGGTTCAAACCCACCAGCAGCTCCTTACATGAGTTGAACCGACTTGACAGCACTTAACAAAATAGAAAATGTAACATAATATTTCATGGTGAAAAACTGAAAACTTTCCCCCACTAAGATTATAAGACAAGGATGTTCTTTCTCTCTTACCACTAGGGTTTAACTTTTGTACTGAAGGTTCTCGCTGGTGCAACCAGGCAAGAAGGAAGAAAAAAGAAGAGAGAGAGAGAGAGACAGATTTTTGGGTTCAAGACAAAATGAGACATTCAGGTTTGGGGTTTGTAGAACAGATTCATGACATAGGAGCTATGTAAACATCCAAGGTTTAAGAATTTTATGGAGGATGTAAGTCTGGGAGTCATAATTATAACTTTAGAAAAAGTGGTCATTTTTTTAGTTTAGGAGGTGTACTAAATACAGTACAATCTACAAAAGCCAGAACGTGTGTGAGGCAGAAACCTATCAGAGAGGAAAAACTCAAATATTTTCCACTAACAGAGAATGATAGAAAGTGGTAAGATTCACTCTGTCAGAGAAGGAAAACTTGTGAGATCTGGAAAAACAAGCAGTTTTGTAGAAATTTGACTCTCACAGGTTTGATTGTATTTGGGGGTTTAGAGATCTTCATATGGGGGCTCATCATATGGGTCACTCCTTACAGATTTAGAACCAGGGGTTGGGTCTGGATGAAGTATTTGGCTCAAGGGTTTAGGGATTCAGGATTTGGTTGGAAAGTTTGGGGCTATAAACACAGATGGGGCGGGGGTTGCAGGCTGAGAACTTCATTAGGGGTTGGTGGTCACCTGGAGGCTGTAGAGTCGGATGAAGTAGGACTTCTGGGGGTTATCCTTCACGAAACACACAGCCCCACAATGTTCCTTGGTCCAGTGTTCAGCTCCAGGGGGCAGTGCCAGATATAGTTGAACAACTGCAGTGGCCAGTGTCTGGGGAAGAAAAACCAGGGGCCAGTGGAGTCTGGTCAGGAGCCAAACCTGGTCCTCCCTTGCCTGTGGCTGCCCTGGGCCCAAAAGAAGAGCTGCAGACAGAGGAAAAGTGAGTAGAGCTCAAGAACTTCCTGTGATTGGTGAACAGAGGAAAGTGGATTCTAGGAGAGGAGATGATGGTGAAGAAAATAAGGAGTAGGAGATGGGGAAGGAAGAGGAGGAGAGAGAAGGATTGTGAAGATGAGTAAGGAGGAGGGGGGAGGGAGAAGAGGAGAGGAAAGGAGGAAAGGAGGACCAGGAGATCCCCAGCTTACGAAGCATTTCCGTCCAAGCATCTCGAAGAGTCGCTGGTTCTCATGGTCCTGAAGGAGGGTGGAGGGTGTGTTCTGCTGAGTCCCTGGACCTCCACGGCCCCCGGGCCTGCCTCCCACCGGGCCCCCACTCATGGTGCCTCCTGCTCTTGTCCTCACCAACTAGGCTCTTGGTGCAGGGTAAGAAGAGGAACTTCCGTAGTGAGCAAGGGAACAGGAAGTGCAGAAAAACCACAAGGGAAACAAGTCCTCCAGGGGCCCCTCAGTAGGCCTGGCCTCCTCCTCCCAGGGACAGGCTTGGACCCTCCTCTCAGACCAGACTGGCTGGGTCCTCCTCTATTTGACTGTTTGGACCCATTGTACTTTGACCAGCTCAGGTCTTCCTTCTCCTTTTTGACTGTCTGGCACCCTCCTCCCTCTGACTGGCTGGGATCCATCCCTAAGTCGTGCTCACCAGTGTGTTCCTATGATGAAAGTTGAAAGATCAGCAGCATCTCTGCAGGACTCATTGGGGGAAACAGTCCTGGGGCTGGGTGGTCACCTTCCTCCCCCAACACATCCAATTAGCCTGGAGTCAAGGTCAAAGGTCACCAGTCATGAAGGGTTACTATACTAAAACTTGTCCTTTTTACTACAGAAGAAGCACTTATGATCCCAGCACCTAACCTGAAGACCTGGACATTACCAATAAGGCACTCCCCTCTGGCTCACTTGCCCGTCCCTTACCCTGGTCTCCCCATTGCTCCAAAATTACTTTCTGTTTATCATCCTCTGTTTTAGGAAAGGAATTTTATAGTATGTACGAGGGCAAGTCCAAATGTATCCCTATAAAATCATAGAGCTCTTTATTAAATAAAAATATTAAAATGTGAAGCTATTGTTTCTTAACATATTCTCCATCTAGATCTATACACTCTGAAGGTGATGTGTCCAACACTCTAATGCCTCCCCAAAGAATTCTATATTCTTGGATTTACATCACATCAAAACTGCAGTTTGGGCATCTTGAAGGACTCAAATCATGTTTCTTTTTAATGTTCTTTGGATTTGGGGAGCAAAACGAAGTTTTTTGTTCAAGGTTGAATGAGATAAAGCCTCCCAATAAAAGTCTCGTAGGATAGCCCTTACTCCCTTTGAAGAATGAGCAGGTGCAGTGTCATGATGGATAAAAATTCCATGCATGTATGGAATAGACTCAATGGCATTTAACAACAACAATGGACTGAACACCTAGTAGGAATACTTTTTGACTTACCCTCATATAAATGCTTAAACAACATATTGTTTAGCTTTCAATGTTTTTGCACTTAAATAACAAATGTAATCTTCAGAGACCTGTTCTTTTCCACTCAACAATTTTTTTTTGTATCTAATAAACACTTGTGTAGCACTTGTCTGAACTCTTTGCAAATATTGACTAATTTAAATTCTAACAGCCCGTGGTGTGCACACTATTACCATCTCAATTTTACAGAAGGAAGCTGAGGCACACATGGTTAAATGACTTCCCTCTGTCTCCGAAGCAGCAAGGGGTAGAGTCTGGATTGCAAGTCAGACAGGCTGGGTTGAGAGTCCACATTCTTAATCACTGTGCTCTGTGCCCAATCTCTTTCACGTGTGTTCCTAAGATTTATATTGCCTATACCAGCAGTTATTCATTTTCACAGCTGTATAGTTAGTATTCTACTGTATGAAGGTACAGGTTTTCATTGATTTATTATTACCATTCTCCTGCTTGCAGATATTTGCTGATGGAAACTAACCTGCTGTGAGCACTCCGGCTCCAGACATGGGCATGCCTAACTCTCTAGTCTACAGGAGTAGTCAACCTAGGAGGGGTTATAGAGATTGCGTATCTCTAACTTAACAGATGATGCCATACTGTTTCCTTAAGTCAAGGGTGGGGAACTTCCAGCCTGTGGGCCATATCAGGCCTGTGGGCCATATCAGGTGCCGGGGACTTGCCTCGACATAGTTGTGTTGTTCATGAGTGTTTGGTTCACGAGGAGGGGAGATCCAGCGGCAATAGAAATAGCAAAAGAGACACAGAGACGCAAAGAGAGAGACACAGAGACACTCTGAAACCAGAGTGAATGCTGGACTGGCATCAGGCAGATCCTGCATTGCAAACATCTCAGCCACGAAGGCCGTAATATCCTGCATAGTAAACATCTTAGCTAAACAGGCAGTATGGTTGCAAGGCTGGACTGTGCCCCTTGCATGCTGTAACGCACGCCTTGCCAGTCGTAATGCACCTGGATTCGTTCTGCGCCTTCCTTTTATTTAGGGGAGGTACTTTACACAAAGCTAGGAGGGAACTAAGACAAGATACAACTGTCAATCTTATTTTTCCAGACATTCAGGCAACTTTACATCATACTTTGCAGGTTCAAATCTCAACTTGGTTTCTCAAGCAGGTTCAAATGCAACTTGGTTTCTCAAGCTTAATTAACATACCTTTTAGCACCTAGCCTCAAATGGAGGGAGGAAAGGGAGGATCAAGAGGATTCCTATTGTGTCTGCTGCCCAGCCCAGGTTCTTCAGGAAAAGAGGCGCCTGGGTGAATAGGCAGCACCTGGAAACACTTTAGGGAGGGCATTCCTATTGTCCTTGGAACAAACCAGGGAGCCGCCCAATTTACCTTGAATGAATTCTCTGAGGGAAGAACTTTGCCTGTTGGAATTTTACAGTCTTGACTTTTAGGAAAATATTACATTTATCTGTGTATATCAAGGGCTTCCTGTCTGCAATTAATAAAAATAATTTGCTATTAACTGCCAGGCGGCTAGATCTGTTACACTCGGGCCTATAGGGCCTCCAACCTCTGACCAGGCCTTCACGGTCTGCAACAATCAGGCCTGCGAAATCATTTGTTCCGGCCCTGCCCCAAGGCAACCGCAGTCCTAGCCATCACATTGTTGTTGTTGTTAGGAGCCATCAAGTCGGCACCTAACAACACCTAACAACCGACTCATAGCGACCTTATGCACAGCAGAACAAAACACTGCCCAATCCTGGGCCAACATTCACTACTGTAATCACACTTGCTGCCACTTGGCCAATCCATCTCACTGGGGGTCTTCCTCTTTATCTCTGACCCTCCACCTTAACAAACATGATATCCTTCTCCGGCGACTGGTCCCTCCTGACAATATGTCCGAAGTATGAGAGATGAAGTTTGGTCATCTTGGCCTCCAAGGAGCACTCTGGCTGCACTTCTTCCAAAATGGATCTGTTGGTTCTTTTGGCAGCCCATGGCACTTTCAATATTCTCCTCCAACACCATAACTCAAAAGCATCAATTCTTCTACGATCTTCCTTATTCACTGCCCAACTTTCACATGCATATGAGGTTATTGAAAATACCATGGCTTGGGTCAGGCACACCTTAGTCCTCAAGCTGACATCCTTGCTCTTCAACACTTTAAAAAGGTCTTGTGCAGCAGATTTGCCCAATGCAATATGTCGTTTGATTTCTTAACTGCTGCTTCCATGAGTGTTGAAAGTTGATCCAAAAAGAATGAAGTCCTTGACAACTTCAGTCTTCTCTCCGTTGATAAGAATGTTGTTTATTAGTCCAGTGGTGAGGATTTTTCCTTTACATTGAAATGCAATCCATACCGAAGCCTGTGCTCTTTGATCTTCATCAGTAAATGTTTTAAGTCCTCTTCACTTTCAACTAGCAAGGTTGTATCATCTGCATATCTCAGGTTGTTAATGAGTCTTCCTCCAAGCCTGATGCCATGTTTTTCTTCATATAACCCAGCTTCTTGGATTATTTGCTCAGCATACAGGTTGAATGTTGTTGTTGTTAAGTGCCATCGAGTCAGTTCCGACCGACAGAGACCCTGTATAGGGTTTCCGAGGAGCAGCTGGTGAGCTTGAACCACTGACTTTGCAGTTCAAACAGCTTTGCAGTCTGGCGCATTAACCCAGAGCGCCACACCAGGTTGAATAAGTATGGTGAAAGAATACAACCTTGTCGCAGACCTTTCTTAATTTTAAATGATTCAGTGTTCCCATGTTTAAGTGTTTGCCCAAATATATATAGCAGGCTGATTTTCAAGTTGCTTGATTTTGTATGGCCCGCGAATGATGTTATAAATTTTGGCAGAAAAAAGGTTCCCTATCCCTTCCTTAAGTGACTAGTAAATCAATCCCCACCTCTCCCTGGCCTTCAGGTACCCCAGTCATGTAATGGGCCATTGGGGGACATGAAGGTCCAAGGTACAGGGACAGCAGGTTGGAGGAGCCGAGCAGGTCTGAATGTAACTAACATTCCTAAGTACATGAAAGAAAATAGCACATCTCGGGATAGGATCCACAGCCCTTTATGGAAATCTTTCTGGATCCCTACAACTTCATCTGGATCATCACACCCACATCTCTCCTAACCTGGAATTCAAAGCCCTCCCTTTGCTGTGTGGCAGTTTTACCTGTCTCCTTCCTCTCAACCCTCACTTGGTGCCCAAAACTCACTAGGCTATTACATATCTCCAGGCCTGAAGCACCATCATTAGAGTAAACCCCTACTTATCCATGAAAATCCACTGCATTAATTCATTTTCATACTATTTATTGAACGCTTACTGTGTTCCAACCATATCTCCAATGTCTGGCCCAAACTCAATAAATGTTATTGAAAGAATGATTAAAGAATCACGCTCTGGTAGCGTGGTGGTTACGAATTGGGCTGCAAACCGCAAGGTCAGCAGTTTGAAACTACCAGCTGTTCCATGGGAGAAAGATGAGGCGTTCTGCTCCCGTAAAGATTTACAGCCTTGGAAATCCTGTACAGGGTCGCTATGAGTTGGAACCGACTCCACGGCACATAACAACAACAACAATAATGTCTAGACTTAATTTAGTGTTTTCTGAGATTTTTCTAAGTTCCTTACATTTATTAACTCATTTAACATTCACAGACAACCCATGGAGGAAACACAAACCACTGTTCTCCCCATTCTGTGTTACAGATGAGGAAGCTAGGGCCCAGAGACGCTTAGATAACATTTTGCTACACTTCTCTATTACATTCATTTTTCACCTTTCTAATCCCTTCTCTGTTCTTAGATCTGTCCCCTATTACTCTACATTGTCAGTTGCCGGTCCTGACCCCATATGTGTCAGAGCAGAACTGTGCGCATACAGTTTTCAATGGCTGGTTATTCAGAAAGTATATCACCAGGCCT